ACATCTTATATATTATATATAATTTTTTACACAATTAATGCATATTCTATGTTCCTTAAGGAATGTAGATCACGGAAGGAATTTTCCTTAGCACAATATGGTAATTTTTCACAAGGCCATGTAAAATATTAGCATAGCAGCTCAGAGTGAGAAGTCAACACAAAGGAAACTTAGAGTATGTGTTGTTTGTGTAAAAGTATAGTACTGCCAAGGTGGAAAAACAATGCTCTATAATTTAGCCCCCTCTGGGGTTCAGTAGTTAAATACTGAGACGCTAACCGAAAATCTGGTAGTTTGAATACATGTGGCAGTCTGCTTTCATACAGGTTGTTACGTACCATCAAGTTGCCTGTGACCCTATGTACAGCAGCTCGGAAGCCTGCCCTGTCTTGAGCCAGTCACACTGATTCCGGCACACCTACCCCCACTGCCCCAGTCACTGTACCATAAAGGTTACAGACTTGGTAACCCTAAGGTGAAGTTTCATTTCTGTCCCATAGGGTCACTATGAGTCAGGATGGCGTTTATTCTTCTCAATACCTTGGCACTCCTGGAGATACTTGCAACAACTGATTATATAGATATCTTAAAGATACCATGCTCTACAGTTACACATCTCTAGCTGACTGTAAGAATTCTTGTTCTGAAACTTAATGTGGCCCAGACTGTTTTCATCTCTCCTCAAAATGGCATTCTTTAGTGAGGTTCCGTCTTCATAAATGATCCCACTTTCTTAGTCTCAGACTCTTGGAACTATTGCTCTCTGCTTCTTTCTTTGCCCACCACATCCAGTCTATTATTATATTTTGCGTCTCACATCACATATTCTTCTATTCCCACATACTTTCAAGACCAACATAGTTGAGGCCCTTAGTTCACAACAAAATGATTATAATAAACTCGTAACGTATCTCTTTACTTTCAGTTACTACTTCCTATTCTTACTCTCTGCCCCCTCCCCCCGCCACACACAGAGGCTAGCAAATATAAAGTGGCAAGAAAGGATTTCCTCAAGTAGTAGTAGTAGTAGTACATAGTGACATGACTTTATTTAAGAACAAAAGCAACTAACTGCTGGCATATCTTTCAGTTAGTACTTCGTAGGTACTTACGATGTCTCAGTCACCTTCACAACTCCTCTCTCACTTTAGATCCTCTGTTCTCTCTCATCCGTATCTCAAACCACTTGATGCTTTCAATTCATCCTCAAGTTTCTCGTTGCTTTGTTCCCTGCGTCCAGTCTACATATGACACATAAAAATGTGCCTTTCTCTATAATCAGTGTCACTGTTCATGATGTCTAGAAACTATGGAATAAGAGTGGGCTTTTTCTCTCTTTTCACCAAAACAAAATAAAGTTTCAAAAACGTCTGCTAATGTTTTCTAGGTGCCTACTGCCTTTAAATTCTACCAGGTTTACTGTGCAAATGATCAACTTTGCATTAGGCTATCATCATGTCTCCTTTTTTCCATATCGAATTGCTCTTTCTTCCTTGAATTATCATACCTGAACTGGACTGCTGGTTTTTTCCCCCTATAGCCTCACATAGTGTGTACTCTGTCAGAAGTCATTTTGTTAGGGATTTTTTTCCTTGCATGGATTATTTTCATTCATTGGATATTTACTGAATACTTAGGATGAGCCAGGTCTGAGAAGCAAGACAAAGCAAGCCCCTATCCTACTGTTGCTGTTTTGTGCTGTAGAGATGGAACTGGCCCATAGCTGACCCTCTGGTGGCTTTTCAGAGGCAGTCAAACACCTGAGAGGAGAGTGCCCATCCTTCTCCCTTGGAGCGGCTGGTGGCCGTGAACCAAGTGCCTTCAGGATTGTAGTGTGGCTTCTTGCCACTCGGCCACTAGAGCCCCTCCTATCCTACTACATTATTTCATAAACCACTTAAAAGGCAGGATGCTGCTTTTACCTTGGGAGCTCTCTTCACTTATAATCCAATTTCATGATTAGCACATTTTTTATGATCAGTTATTAATAATTGTCAAATATAAGAATAAAACTGAACACAGCATAGCTTAGCTACACACTCCATAAACACACATCGTCATAATGGAGATATTTTGCTTTGCTACGTCAAGATACAAGTTGCAAACATTTCCTATGAAGAGGTACATTATTTTAAAGGTATCATACAACTGGGGGAAAGGCAACTTATAGTTGAATAAAGCAAAAACTCGAACTCAATCATACTTTTCCTGGGCACCTTCTGCAATAATTTGAACACATTCCCAAGCATTTGGCAGATCTCTTAACCCCCTTCTGACTCAGGAAAATCTGATCCCTGCAGATGAATACCGCATGATGGCATCTCTTCTCTCAACAACTGTGGGTGTCTTTCAAACTTTTTTTTTTAAATAATAAAAAAGGAATGACTATACACAAAATTACACTCCTTACTTGATATCAACCATCTGCTTGGAAAACACTTTATTAGTAGCTTTGTATATTATTTTCCTCTTGTGTATGAAGCACTAAATTAGACATACTGGA